CTACTACTTTAGTATAGTGTTATAAATCTTACCTATTCTAAACTAGTGTATTTTCTAGATTTTAATTACTTTACCTAGTAATATATTAAGTTTTCTAATTAATATTAAATATTCTTAGTATATTATAATCTTTTTATTATATTATCTTAGTTTTATATAAGTATCTATAATAACTACTATACTTTCTCTTAGACTCTTTACTTTAGTATAGTAAGCTAACTTTAAAGTCTATTATAACTTAATATAGTTTTTAGAGATAGTAAGAGTAGTACTAGTACTTAATCTTACTACTTTAAGAAACCTAGTAGTAATACTAATACGCTACTTATTTTTCTATAAATTTATAAAAAAAGTGCTAAGTATCTTTAATATATATAGATAGTAATATAGATTTATAAGTGCTATTAAATAGAGAATCTTTATATATATATAAATAGTAAGTTAGTACTTAGCCTCTACTATAGTAGAGATAGAACTATTAGCGCTAGATAGTAAGTTAATAATACTTTTATTAAGCGTAGTAATATTAATATAGCTTATTATCTAGCTATAGTATTCTACTCTTCTAATCTTCTAATTAGATAGAACTTTATATAATTTCTAGAGCTATAATATCTATACTAACTAGATAAGGCTAGCGCATATAATAGTAAAGATTATAACTTTACTCTATATTCTAGATAAAGAGAATAAAACTTTAGTAGGCTCTACTACTTATTAGTACTCTATCTAGATATTATACCTTACACTAACTAGGCGCTTTAATTAGAAACTCTACTATTAGTAGTATTAACTAGAAGTTCTTTACTAGTAGACTTAAATTTTATTATAGTTTATAAGTTCTATAGTAACTAAGACGCTTTATTTACTCTACTAGCTTTTTATCTACTACTTATAATCTATATTAAGCTTATAAGAGCTAGCGCTTCTTATAGAAGTTAGATAGATAAGTTATAGCTAGGCGCTTATATAACTATATCTAACTAATATTATATCTTCTATAGTTTTAGAGTAGGTATTATTATATATAAAAGTTATATTATATTTATAGAAAAAAAAGGTAGCTTACTTAGAACTATATCTAGGTATAAAAGTAAAGTAGATAATAAAGAAAATTTTATACTTAAACTTATCTTTTCTATCTCTAAAATATCTTTACTTCTCTACTTACTTTTATTTACTTATAACTATCTATTATATCTTATATATAATAGGCACTAAATATACTATACTTTAGCTAGAAAGATACTATACTAGCTAGTTACGCTAAGTAACTTAAAGATATAGCTATAACTTTTAGAGATAAGAAGCTATTACTCTATTTATTCTATAAGATCTTATATAATCTTATATAAAAGTTTTTTAAAGATATAAATAAGTAAAATATTAGTAAAGATTTTAGTTTTAAAGATATTAATAGTATCTTTAATAACTCTTTAAAAGTTCTATAAAAGTAAGTCTAAAGTTAGAAGTATATATTTACTAAGTTTAATAAAGTCTTTAATACTAGAGTATAGGTAAATACATTATAGTTAGTATATTTCTACTTTCTATTACTTACGTCTAAGCTTTACTAATAAAAATAGATCTTTACTATTATTTTTAGTCTTATAATAGTTATAGATAACTAAATAAAGTAGCTATATTAGTAATATATACTTATCTATTTATCTACTTAATAAAGCTCTTAACTAGCTACTCTTAATTTATCTAGTTCTATATTAAAACTATTTATTTATATCTCTATTAATACTAGTTATAGAATATATAGGTATTATTAATCTTTCTTTATATATATATAAAGCTAAGATATTATTATAGCTTTTATGACTACGTATAAGTAGCTATATAAAGTAATATATTACTATATTATTATCTTAGTTAGATTATAGTTTCTACTTTTATTAATATTTATCTTATAAGTAGTAGTCTAGTACTTTTATAGCTAATATTTAGGCTTATATTATAGTAGTATTTACTAATAGCTCTATATCTATTACTTACTTCTATATTCTACTTTACTTACTAGATAATCTTCTTATAAGAACTTCTTTGTATAATAATATATCTCTTTATATAGTCTTTATCTTTATTACTTTTATTACTTTTATAGTTATATTAGATATATTTACTTATTCTATACTATATATTATTAACTATCTTAATAATATATCTAGTTTATAAATAGATACTATTATCTTGCTTAGAAAGCTTTACTAGATAGACTTCTATATATTAGAGGTTAAATATTAGATTAGCTTAGTATTTAATATTATAAGTATAGTATATAGTTTCTAAGTTCTTTATATATACTAATTATCTTATATAAACTACTTTTTATATAATTATTAAAACTATATCTTCTTATATTACTAATAGCCTTACTATTATACTTAATACTATTATAAATACTACTATAAAAGTTTATATAATCTCTATCTATATTCTCTATATTATCTATAATATCTTTAGTATAGCTATTAGCTTCTATTCTACTTTTTATATCTAGTACTAAGATTCTTAGATTACTAATACTATCTTTACTATGTTAGTTTTTATTATTATTATAATACTCTTACTTTAGATTTAGATATTATTTTATATAATTAGATTTCTAATTACTATAAGTATATAGCTTATTATAATAGTTATATATATAACTCTAAAGTAGATAGTTATTTTAGTAAGTACTATATATATTACTAGAATAGTACTTTACTACTCTTTACTTTAATTAGTAGCTCTAAGTTAGTAATAAGTTATACTTAGTTATAAAGTAGTAATAATAAAGAAATAATAGAGTAATAATAGAGTAATAATAAAGTAATATAAGATATAAGATGTAAAATATAATATAAGTAGTTTATATTAGAAAAACGCTTAGAGAATTAATTATTACTTTTAGTTAAAGTATAATATAGCTAAGGCTATATTTAATATATAATTTAAATATATTAAGTATATATTATAAGCAATAGTATATATATATAGAGATAAGTATAAAGTATAAAGTCTTTATAGCCTACTTATAAATAGGTATAGGTAGGTTAAATAATATAGAGCTTAGCGCGCTAAGCCTCTAGCGCTGCATTTAACACGTAAAAATATTTACTTCGCATACTAATCTATAGGCATGATCCACTGCAATGGTAGTGTGTGAGAAGTCTGGCTCACATAATCAAGATGACAATCTGTGAGTGAGAGGATGATCCCATGCAGCTCGGACCCGTTACGCCACGGTCCGCCACGGCTTTACCTGACATCCACACTCTCACAGCCATACATTCTCCCGTCTCCAGTTCGCCAATCACAAGTTGCTCTACCCTCGCAAACAACAACATGGGCACCACATGCTAGTCACGCAATCCCGATAGTCTGGAGTGACAGGCTGTCGGAACACGTCTTCAGGATCGAGGCCCCCAGAGCCGGAACCGCAGTCTGGATATCGGTGAGGTACGCGCGAATGCTACGTCGCACAACAGCCAACCAGCCGACAGCCACACGCAGCAAAGCGCTCAACGCCGATAATTGCACATGCTGCAGGGCGCCGTCGATAACGTCGCCGATCTCCACTGCTTCGAGCCGCGAAGGCGAGTATGTTGTTCCGAGCATTGGTTTCGCGCTCATCCCGATCGACGGAGGACTTACTCTGGGGCCAGATTCGCGAGCTGCGGTGGCGTGGAATCGTGACTCGAGTCGACACGTGCAACGTTGAGCCTCACTCTTTGGTGATCTGCGTTGTGCGCGTGGATGCTGGGATGTGTTGGTGTTGACACCTCGTGGTTTGCGCTGATCTTTTGGTGGTGGCGAGTCGAGAAACGCTTTTCTCAGCTTTCACCGGGTGTTCGCGATTTCAACGCACCGCAACGCAATCGCGTCGTCATAGAAGGTAATGAACTTTTCTGCTGCGGGTGTGGTGTCTACCGGGATGTCTGCACGCGCTGACAGTACGCCTCTTGGACTGCTTTTTTCTCTCCTGCATTCTACATACACTGGTCGGTCCGGAAGCGGTAATCCATACATGGACGCGGGGAAATTTCGCCGTCTCTTGCCAATGTTGGAGTACGATGCTAAGGCGTACTTACATGATCGTGGACTCCGTAGTTCGTCTTTATCTCAACTGGTCGGTGTAGGCCATGTTGAAGCGGGAGTGGTAAAGTAACACGGCGTTTGTGTGCTGATATGGCCTGATGACTGCATAGTGTATGTGCAGATATCTAGCTAATGTAACCAAGACCTTTTCACGATTAGGCATGTGCAGAATCTGGTACGCGGGCGCGTATGTCGCTAGTATGTGTGAGTCTGGACAGGTCGGATACCTCAGAATAACATGGTCGGTAATAGCGTAGACCCGAGTCTGCGTTGAATGGGTAGCTTCCTTGCACTCTGACCCGCAGCAACTAGAACCAAAACCAGGCACATCGCCTACGATGAAGTCGAAGTACTGTTTGGCGAAATCGTGAGGTACGCCTTAGATGACTTCGTTGAGCATCACGAATGCATTTCGATATTGCAGTGGTCTTCAAGTGCTGGTAACTCGGCCCATATTTCCTTGCGCTTCAAAGACTGTACAGGAGCTGTGTCGGATTCCCACGTAGCAAAGAAAGATAGGCACCCTGATATCCCCGTGCTATGAAGCAGTCAGAGCACGAACGCGAAACCAGTTGGCGGGCACATGCCGCTCATCGAGACACAATGGAGATGGATGGGTTGCCGTTCACCCTGAACGTTTTGGCAAGGCTGAGCTGCTGCCTAATCGTCGCAAGAACGCGGGAAGGATCGGAGTAAGCACAACACCTGATGCTGTTAGTCGGCTGTCCGACAGTGCCGATGGAACTTCTCCTCGTCGAAGAGAATGTTTATAAAACCATGTTCTATCGTGGAAATGATGGTAGTTAAAGTGCGCACGTCCGATCCGATTCGCCGGTAAGATAGAACACCGCAACACACCTCTTTGCCGAGTGTACATCACAGGATATCCCATCATATCACACACAGCTATGAGCATAGAAGAGCATGGAACTACCGCTCACGAAGAAGACACCCGCCGATGTCGATACCCCTTGGGGAATGATACCTCAGACACACTGACGCTTCCCGACGGACGCAAGCTGGGTTACGCACAGTACGGGTCTCCTACTGGCCATGCCGTCTTTTATCACCACGGACTTCCAGGATCGCGCATCGAAGCGGCTTCGTACCAGGAGAATGCTCTCGAGCTAGGCTTACGGATAATCGCAGTCGATAGACCCGGAATCGGCTTGAGCACGCCAAATTCCCAACGAACGTTGCTAGACTGTCCAAAAGACCTGCAACGTCTCGTCGACCATCTGCAACTCGAGAGCTACTCCGTACTGGGTGCGTCTGGAGGAGGCCCCTATACTCTTGCATGCGCAGCAGCACTTCCAGCTTCGCAGCTCAAATGCGTATCCGTTGTATGTGGGGTCGGGCCAATGGACATTGGCATGAGGGGAGCGGACATCCTGCACCAGCTTGGCATCCCGTACGGGTGGAGGTACGCGCCCGTCTTCCTCCTGAAATGGTTCCTAAGCCGCGATGCTTTTGGGCGAATGGATCTGAGCGACGAAGAGCGTTTTCAACGTGTGCTTGACCCGTCAAACCTCGCCTCAATCAAGGACCCAAGGGACCGCGAGCTCATGGCAGATGAGCATCTCGTTCGCCTGATATTAAGATCGACTCGTGAAGCGAGAGCACAAGGGTTCGATAGCGTAGCGGTAGACGGGAAGGTGATATGTAGTGACTGGGGTTTCCGGGTCGAGGATATCAGGAAGGATCTGCCGGTGCAGTTATGGTATGGCAAGGACGACTGCTTCGTGCCTGCCAATCATGGAGTGCAGATTGCAGCGCGACTGGGTGTTGACAACGAGAATGTTGTTCTGAGGGTGGAGGATGATACGCATTCGACTATAACGCAGAGGTGTAAGCGGGCGCAGCTTGAAGCTATCGCTGCCGTGATGCAGGGGTGACGCCTCTGTGATGCCAAGCCCGTGCTGCCTCGGCTGACCCACCCTAGCCTTGCACCTCCGATTATCACATCTTCACTCAATTCTCAACACCGTGTTCCTCGTCCTGGTTCTTCCAACCCGCCCTTCTCATTGATGTGGCTCGACCGCCTGATTGGTGTAAACTCATTTCTTGCTTTTTCGGACTCCCACTTCGCTGCGCAGCCTTCTCATCTTCGGGCTTCACAAACCATGATTTTGCATACTCCCAAAGATCAGTAACTACTGCCCAGGGCCTTCTCCCATACACTAATCCGAGCGCGACCACAACGCAAACGGGTATGCCGATAGCCCAGAGATGCCAAAATTTTGGCCTCCCCGGGCGAAAGTCGTCGCCCATGCTGAAAATGCCAGCAAGCAGGGTAAGCGGAAAGACGATGGATGCGAACAAGCTGAGACGAAGGCCGAACTCACCGTCTGAGACGCCTCTGAATGCTGCCCGGAGGTTTGCGAGATCGTTTGAGACAGAGTTCAAGGCTTCTGCACGATCGCGCAAAGGCTGCATCCTTGTGTGTATTGTAAGGAAGTCTTTTTGCGCGTCTCGGATCGCGAGAGATGCATTCGCGTCGACACTTTCGCAGCCCAATTGCACGCCTAGGCGTTCGAGGTTGAGGTACATTGCACGCCAGAAGTGGTTCAAATGTCAACGCATGTAGTTGATGTCCTTGGCGATCTCGTTGATCTTCAGTAGGTCTAGCTTCCATTTCTGTTTACTCAAATTGTCATCGATTTGAGCTTGATAGTCATCGGAGAACCATTCACCCCTGGCGATGGTCGTATTCATAAGCTCAAGTTGGTTGACCCAGTGTTGAGCGACATGTTTTAGGAGGTAGTATGCTGCGTTGGACGATTTCTCGTTCGTCTCCTGGATCAGCTCGGGAGTAGCAAGCTTGGTCCAGTAGAACACCATTTCATCCATGGCACTGGTAAGGTTCCGCTTCTCCCGGAAAACTGGAAAGTTCACCTCTTTTGTCCCCAAACCGACTTCGGAGAACATCAGTGGGGCCAATGTGGAACATCCGTTATGGTACGGCCAGCTCTGATGTGAAGTCTCCTGGAGGGCATGGGATGCGCCCCAGTCTTGCGCTCGCCAGAGTGCTGACCTGCTGTCAAAAGGCTCTCCAGCTTGTAGAATCAAGCAGTCATCCAAGGTTTTTCGGGTATTGCTGTCGAGTTTGATATCGCCGACCATCTCACACTTGCTCCCTGCCTTCCCCGCCGTCGATGAATCATCAGTCGATTTTCTCGATGGTTCTTTGCATGTCGCAGCAAACGCAGGGTCAACCAAAAGAACCGCTAGAGCCAGCGCGAGTTAGCCACAATTCAGAAGGCGAGGTCGACACGAGAAGCTTACCATCCCATCCCAAGCCATCCGGTTTCCCATCCGGCAGAAAGCTCTGCGATGTCCAGAACGACGCGCACCGTCTTACAAAAGCATGCCTTCGGTCAAGTTTGCCTAACGAAGGTATGTCGATATCCTTCCACCTTTCGTACCTCCGGCGATTCACAGCAAACGAGGTCTGCAAACTCAGAACGTCTATCTTATCGGGATAGAGCAAAGTGCGCAGCTCGTAATAGCGCAAAGTGAATGACTGCCCAGGCACTGACATCGATGGTAATCCTCTATGTGGGATGGACCAGGAGTCAGTAAAGTTCCAGGTGTTCATCTGCTCGCTGAAGACCAGAGGGTCGACGCCTAGATGATGGCCCAGTGCGTCCACATAGTCCGGTTCCATATCTTCAAGGATGAAGAGCCGCTTGTGTCTCTCCTCACGGCTCTTATTGGCTGGCTTCTCCTTGAGGTACTCTCGGAGCGCAGCAGCGCTCTTAAAGCCACCTTTTTCCACCTCCACGACGCTTTTGGCCTTAAACTCCAAACAATAGCATCGGCCCGGTGTGCGTTGATGCTCTTTCTCGTAGTGTTGCCTAACAGCCTGACGGCCGGCTTCTCCCTCATTTGCTAGCTTTTCCAAGAAGGACTTGAGCGCTGGAAACGCATCCTCGAGCGTGTCGAGACATTGCAGATAAGGCTTTCCCTCGAAGCGGGGAGGAGGACTGGTACGTTGTCCATTTTGTGCCGATGAGTCGGTCATTATGATAGGATCTTTGGAGAAATCCATCTTGATAGCCGGATGATAACACAATGGAAGCTGACAAATACTTATAGCGGGCCAAAAGAGAAGGCTGAAAAGGAGGACTGGCGCGATCAGCTCCTTTTCTTGACCGGATGCTGACAGGAGACACAGGCGCAGTTCAGCGCTGCGTTCGAACCCCCTCGCGCATGGTGGCTTGCATACCAGTCCCTCTAGATTGGATTAATGTTCTCAATTATGCGATAGCGTTGCTGTTCTCAGCAAGATTTCGGGGTTGCGGCTGAGCATGCTGCGCCCACTATGGCTGCCTCAGCTGATAACCCCGCATAAACCCAGCCGCGCTTCCACATGGCACCGGAAGCAACGATACTCTTCATCGACCTCAATCTATCGTTCATACCTCCCTTTTCTCGAGCTAAAGTCAACTCTCAAGCGGTCTATCATGGGGACCCCAAGTTCATTTCCCCCGTCAGATACTTTGGCGGATGAGCCAGTCTCAAAACCACGAAGTATAGCACAGCCTTCTCCCATGGATTTCTTCGAACATGAACCACTCGATCATTCCCAACCTTCCATAAGGCTGCTAAAGATGTCATCAACGCTGTCAGCTGAAGGCCTCATCCAATGTTCCATATCGCATACGACCACAGATCATGCGCCCTATCGTTGCTTGTCGTACGCGTGGGGCGAACCTGAACCAAGAGAGCTTATATCAATAAACGGAAAATCGTACTACGTCCAGCCAAATCTCTTCGACTTCCTGAAGGTCACCACATCCGACGCCGCACGTACGGCTCATCACTATTGGGTAGACGCTCTTTGCATCGACCAGGATAACACGGCCGAACGCAATCACCAAGTCATGCAGATGGGGAGGATATACTCTGCAGCTGAAGCCGTCATTGCATGGCTCGGAATCGCGTCACAAGAGACAGTTTTACATTATCGTGAGAACCCCCAGGTATTGGACAATTCGCGCTATGATTTCTACGGACGAGAGACTGTGTGCGAAGAGTTCGCTCATAATCGATATTGGACCCGAGCATGGATTACACAGGAGCTCATACTAGCACGCCGCATCAGCATCGCAATCGGACCGCTCACGTTGACAATTGAGAGGCTTCAGGAGATGCTCAGTGCTAGCCGATCTTGTGGGGCTCGAAGTGAAGAGATCGGCCAGATCATAGCGCTGGATAGTAAAAGACGGAATGCTGTTGGCGAACCTCTAGCAAGCCTTTTGCTGAGATTTCGAGACAAGAGATGCAGCGTCGCCAGAGATCGAATCTTCTCACTATTGGCTTTGTGCTCCGAATCAGATGGAATCAAGGTCGATTACGGTTGCTCGATCTTTGAACTAGTGCACTCAATAATGAAGTGCGATGAGCATACCCTCTGTGTATGCTCCATTGCCGTTATCATGGAAAGCCTCGCGCCTGAAATCGGTAAACCATCAGGCAAAGAGGAGTCCAGTCCTCAGCGGGGTCCGTACATAGAGATTGACACGAATGGGAAAATTTCGAGAAGTATTGGGAAGCGAAAGCGTTGTGGAATTCTTAGCCACATCTGCTACTACGCTCCTGCTGAAGTGGGAATAAGATTACCACGTGATGCGACCGACTTTCAGGAACTGCTAGGGCTAAGAGACGGACTGTATGATAGAAGACTGTCTACTGGTATTAGTTTTGCCCCGATCGGCCCAGGACTTGGAAGAATACGGGTATCTCTTTGGTACCTTTACAACTCATACTGCTGTCGGGATCTGCCAGGGAAAAGGCTCAAGCTTTGTTCAAGATTATGGGCTAGTGATGGATCCTGGACTTCAATTCGCGCGGGTTATGGGAACTGGGACATCAACGCCCCTGAGTCGCTGCAAGAAGACACAGTTCCCATAAACTAAATGTCACCCCGTCGTCTACAATAACAACATGGAGACGAATGCTTCTGTATGACATCTTTGTCAGTGAGCGTAGTAATATCACTTCACCACGTTATTTTACACCACACGGCGAAGAATAGTGACCATTTTAGATACTAGACTTTCCCACTAATGCGAGCCCTTTCAAATACACTTGTTTACTCCAGACTCTTGAGAATAGCAGGCAAAATCTCCACCTCCGTGAAATCCCAAATCGTGCTTGAACTCCCCGAAGCCCAATTCGCTCCCGTCCAAAACGTATTCGTCATACCTTGCAGAGCAACGAAACGCTTGTAAAAGCCATTTTTTATCTCCTCGACCGAAACGCTCAATGCGAAGGGCGAATGATTGTTGCTAGCCTGTATCGTCGTAGATTGGTTGGCAGGAGGCAGATCGAGCGCATCGCGTATCCTTTGGACCGTGGCGAGGATATCGGAGGTGAAGTAATCGTCCGAGGCTTCCATGGGAGTGGAGTATTGCACTGAATAGAGGTTGTCGATTTCGGCGGTGAAATAGTATGCGCCTGGCAGCCCGGGGATGCCGAAGGCGGCTTTTGCGTCGTAGTTGTACATAGAGACGCCCTGTAGGAAACCGGTGTTGGCCACGACTGCATTCCAGTAACCGCTGCTGTTGAAGCGAGAGAAAAGGTCTGTTTCCTCCGTGTTTAAATCCAGAAACTGGTCGAGGAGGGCGACCTTAGGGGGAATGGTCATAAGAAGTTTTTTTGCGCGAAGTGTCTGGGTGCCTGATGGGGTTTGAGCGACCAGGGTGACGCATGAAGAGCTGCGTGTGATAGACTTGATGTTGGCACACTTCACGACAGAGCTGTTGCCCATCCCGAGTTTCTGTTCTGCGGCATCCCAGAGCGCCTGCTGGTTGTGGTTTGCTTGCGAGACTTTGGTCTTGTCTTTGCGTGCTGAGACTTGCATGGGATTGAAGAGCTTCATCACATAAAGGGTAGGCTGGGCGAGGATGTTGCCCATGCCTTGGAACTGCAAAAAGCCATCATATGCCAGCGCGCCCAGGTCGTATTTCCGCAGGAAGTCACCCCAAGGCATCAATAGGTCCTCCGGAACGGGATCGGGGAGGTGGTATCCACGGAAGAAGTCGTCTGGGTACTGTGTGAGAAGAGCCTCGTACTTGTCCAGCGCCGCAGCAGAGGCGTTAGCGTCGACGACGGGCCATGAGGGCCCGACGACCGAATTCCGGAAGTCAACTGCCTTGGGCTGGCCACCGGGCTTGAAAGGAGCGAGGGGAATGTTGAGGGAGTCGAACAAGTGTCGAACGGTGGTGGTATTGACGAGGACTTGCGTGCCGTAATCGAAAGTCTCGCCGGTCGCCGTGTCCTTGTAGGTGTTGGTGTGTCCACCCAGCCGGTACTCTTTCTCAACGAGCGCAACCGATTTTCCAGACTGCTGCAGCTGGATGGCAGCGTGAGTGCCACTGGAGCCTCCACCGACCACGAGCACGTCGTAATCGTATTCATTGGCGGTAGCCAAGGAAAGGAGACCGGGCGCCACAGTCAATAAACCTAGCCGCTGTAATTGTACCATGGTGGCAGAGGGTCTTGGGGAATAAAACGAGAGGGATGTGGTGCGGGAAAGAAAAACGATGTGACTTTGGTACAAGCGATCAGAGGTCTTAGATGAAGCGGACCGAAGACGGGACGACGGCGCTATTCATCTAGTGTCGGCGAATATGTTTGTCGCCTCTACGATGGCCTCGGGGTATACAACAAGAGAGCTAAATTCTAGGTTTGACTAATAGTCTTGTTACTACATCAGCGGCTGCCCTACTCACCGCTTCCTCATTTGTAGCCAACGCGTGCGCGAATGCGAATTCGCCTCGACCTACGGCAGATCCATCACTCTCAAGATGCAACACTCCAGAAGCGGAAACATTTATTTAATGGGCTGGATGCTGAGTTCCACACCCATAGAGCTAGCAAAGGACGACCGAGTTCTGAGGCGCGTTCGCGCGGGTAGCATGGGACTTGCTTACGCGTCATTAGCCGGTTTTGAGTACGGAATGAAGGAAGCTGCGTCAACATGGTTGTTGTGTCGAGATGAAGTCGCGAGATGTGGCTGCCACAAAAGAAGTTCGGAGGCTGGAGACTAGGCGACGTGACGCGCTGAGATGCGATGTTGGGAGTGGGTCGAGGATCGTTACTCGACTCGCCTTACCAGCCTCGTGGGACTAGCCTTAAGACCCACTTCCATCACCCTAGTCCGGTGCCTGCAGGAAGTCGCAATAGACGCCGCCGACGTCTTCTGGTGATCGCACTTGAACCCAAAAGTGACGTCCCTGGTAATGCTTCTTGACAATTCCTCACAAGCTCGATGCAGGAAACATCAATTATCGAATCTTCACGACCGCAGGGAAATGGATGACTCCATGGAAACAGCAAGATTGAGGTTATAACGACCATCACTGTAGTAACCAAAGCCTCAGGTTGCTTCCCACCATGGGGCTTGTTTTCGGTGTATTGAGTGTAGTAATACTGCTATGCCATATTCTTCTATACTCCCATATCAGGAACGAAGAGTGAGTCTATAAATGCAAAGACACTCGAAACCAAGGATAATGCCTATGATGATAAAGAAGGATAGGGGTATACCAAAAACGCCGATAAAGGAAAGCTCCTAATCCCAAGAGTCTGCGGTGCGCCAAGTGTATCTACCGGTGGGATATGCAACAGTCGATGTCATCGATATAACCACACAGCTACTCCTGCAACTGGTGCGTGGGGCAAGCACCCCGGCCTTTCTTATCCCACCACTCCTTGATACAAGTCTGAGACACATGTTAGCACCTTGGGCCCATCGTACTGGGAAAAGGAAAGACAAACCTCATGGAACTTGCACCAGCAAACCAACCTAGCCATCTTGTCCCCAGATTCAAAGTCTTCCAGACAAATCGTGCACTCGGCCTGTCTGCCCTCTTCATCAACACAGTCCTTCTCAGTCGCGACGTACGGAAACATTCCACGCGCAGCATGGCTCATTCGATTTGCGTTACTGGCGCCTTCACCATTACCTGCACTGCTCATACCGCGGGTGCGTTGAGTGGGTAGGCTGGCAGATGTTTGCGGCGTGAGTGCAGCTGTTGGGCCTGGAGAAGCGGAGTGTAGGGCGATACATTCTTCAATGTGCTGGGTGCGGTCCGAATCGTCGTTGTCAGGGCCTTGGGGAGGAAGCTCCTCGCCACAGATGGGACATTCGTCTTCCTCAGGGATTTGGCGGCGAGGCCGGGTTGGCTGGGCATTTTGAGGTTGAAGTGGAGGCGGTACAGGGGTTGACATGGCTTGGCTGAAAGGACTGGTCCCCGAGAAAGATCCGTACCCGAAGTTCACACGGTTTTGTGCGTTGCGGGCCCGGTTGTTAGCTACGGTTTGGGAAATGAGAGGTGCGCGGTGATGTGGGTGTTGCTGCTCGATAGCAGATGGCGGGAGAGGTGGCAGCCGCCGCTCTCCCATATGCGAGCCCGCATGATAGCTCACTCTCCTACTTTGATTGCTCTCGTTTGTGGGGTCGCGTGTGCCATATGCATGGCTCTGGCCTGCGCCGCGCGAAGCATCATGTACGCTGGACGACGATCTGTGTGCGCGAGGATGTGGGGGTGGTGGAGGTGGGACCTGTGAAGATCGGGGTGGGATGGGCCGAGAGCCATGACCGAGTGAATCGTATCGTGGAGGTGGGCTGAAGTTTGGATCAGGTACACAAGGATTGCAGACGCGGACTTCCTCGCCTCCGCCTAGCGCTGGGTTGCGGAACGGGCCGAAAGTTGACATGGCGCTCTCGTCTTCTCCTGTCAGATCGACGAAGTTTGCTATATTCTCGGACGGCGGATGCACGATGAACTGGCGTGGAATAGTAATACGATGTGGCGAGCATGAAGCGCACACGACCCTCCCGCATTTCCTGTTCTTGTTGTCAGTAAACAGTCCAGACGGGCGCAACTTGTAGGTTTCTAAGCAGACGAGGCACATGACCTCAAACGTCCGATGGCTGACACGACTGCGACGATAGGTCTGGCGGTACGTACCTGCAATGATGCCTCCTAAGTAAGAATGTAAAGGGCTTCTTGCACACCGGACACTGAGACACTTCGTTGTCCGGCTGCCATGGCGGCAGCACAATATCACTTTGTCTCCTCATGGTGCCTGTGTTCGCTTGTGATGTGACGGGCGGGGTGGGAGGTAATGCGCGGATGGAGGCAGGCGACGAGTCCAACATGATGGGATCCGCACTCGAGTCGCCCGCGCTTTCCGAGTGCATGCGTATGCTCGACGGCCGCCTCATGGGCGAGTCGGCGGTTGTGAGACGTCGCTTGCGGTCTGAGCTGCGGGAGGAGGACGAGTCGGTGCGTTGCGAGGGGCGGTTTGGGAGGGTGTATCGTGACGGGGAAGGGTTCGAGCGAGCTTCGGTGGCGGCAGCGGGGTTGCTATGTGCAGTCGGTGGTTGCTGGTTGGCAGTGGATTCGGTACCGTCTCTCAGGAAGTCCATCCATGTTTCGCGGTCCTGGGCCAGGAAGTGTGATGCGACAACGCCCTGTGAATGGTGTCGGGAGTTGCTGCCCATAACAGCCTCGCGTGGCCCGTCTATGGTGCTGCTTGCTCCGTCATATTGACCGCCGTATGCGTGGGAGTGGTGTGAATAGGGTCCACTCGGGCGTTGATTGGCGTTCGGAGGCATTTGGGAGAGCTTGTGACGGATCGACGCGACCGAAAGCGGAGGGAGCGAGCCAACAGAGGCCAACAGCGTCGAATTCACGCGCGAGTGAGCAACGGCTTATGTGATGGTGAACGGGAGGGGTGGTCTTCGTAGAGAAGGTCGGCCGGCTCACGGCGACATGCCGCCACTTGCTTGGGCGTCTGCGTCGCGTGTGGGCTTTGGCACTCGGAGCGTCGATAGCGCTGCTCGTTTCAGTCAGCCTGGAGCCACAGGGCAGCTATCTTTCACCCGCCTGTAAGTCGCGCAGCGCTGGGTTGCGGTGTAGAGGCCGGAGGTGGGTGGGTCCTGCGCGTCGGCTCGGCGAGGGGAACTTTAACCACGCTGCTGTAGGCGCCGCTCGTGAAGGTGCAGAGTTCAGAAGATAGATCAGAGAAAGGCCAGGCGACAAATAGCGCACAACGCGACACGTACTGGTGAGCAGAGAGCCGTGGCTTCTAAGCGTGGCCGGCCAATGTTGGAATGCCTCAGGCGCCACTATGCCGTTATCTTAGCGGTTTCACGCGACCATCTGCGCCGCCACGCCTGCCTTAGCCTTGCGAGAGAACAACGGTGCGTCGCCGCGTCTTCGTCGGCCCTCTTCACGTGCCAAAACTTTGGAGTGTCCCTCTGCCATGAATAGTCGTGGATTGACTGGAATTACTATTGTACGTTACTACTCGTGCCTGTGCACTCCGTTCCGCTTATGTATATAGAAAGTATCAAGAAGTATGTAGTGGCCCCGTCTACGCCCAAAAGAGCCCATCGCTCGTGTATCCCAACCAACGCCATCAAAATCGCTTTTGCACAACTATACAGTAAGGAAACTCGTAAGCGCACGTTTTGCGCCAAGATCAAGATTAAAATGGGAATCTATCAATCCCAATATGGTATACGGGAAAACAGACATTAATGAAATGACTTTTTCATCTGTGGTAGCTGCGCCCACTGTGTTGTGTGCTGCCACTGCGACTGCGGTCCACAATCTCCGCTGAAGCCTCAAGATGACTTCCCGCGTCATACACGTCACGTTGGACGCTGTCTTTCGTCACATGGTGCTGGACAACACCAGTGCTGAGAGGACGCTCCGACGTTCCACCAATCGCTGGAGGCGCATTCAGTTCACTGACACCGTCATTACGGTATATGCTCGATGCTGCTGATGGCCCAGGCGAGCGCTCTGGTGAAGGTTCGGTCGATCCAAAGGGTAGGCGAATGGGAAGGCCTCCAGGTCCGCCCGGTTGCAGGTGCTGACTTCGTCTTTGGCTGCTCGGACTTACTGACGTCGGCACGTCCATAACAGTCGACAGCCGGTCTGGGATGAGAGCAGCTTCCGTCGACTTCGTACGACGTGAGTTCTTGCGCGGTATTGATGGCACGCGACTTGGAGGTCCTGGTGGTTGCGTAACGCGGGAAGCACGCGACCCAATTCTACTGGGCAGCTCGATTCCGCCAAAACTCTCAATGGGTCCCAGAGCCGGTGCAATAGGCGAAATCCGATTGCCTGGATCGTAATCTCGTTCCTCGTCACTCGTGTCTGAGTCGCTATCGGAAGAGTCTCGTCTCCCTCCAGCCAAGGCAGCCGCTGTCGCTACGCCTGACCCTCCTGATGCGTTCCGAGCTCGCGGAGGTGACTCAGGACTGTCCCGATATGGCTCCTGCACGACTGCTGGCGACTCAGCGTCTTCTTCCACGGCCATCATCTGCGGTGGTATTCGTGTACTTCTGACCACTTCAAATCCCTTGCTCTTTTCCTTCTTCCGCCCACCCAATAGGTTCAAGCTCTTGAACCAACCTGTAGCCGACGAGACAGGACTCATTGGATCCGCAGGCCCTGTCTTCAG